TAATTATTTGATATATAAAGCTCAAACACATATTGAGAATCAAAACTCTATTTAATTGAGAATGTATACCTGGTCCGTGTAATACCATGGAATCATAGCTAGACTCTATTTAATTGAGAATGTATACCTAATCCGTGTAATAATTATTTGATATATAAAGCTCAAACACATATTGAGAATCAAAACTCTATTTAATTGAGAATGTATACCTGGTCCGTGTAATACCATGGAATCATAGCTAGACTCTATTTAATTGAGAATGTATACCTGATCCGTGTAATTGAGAATCTATTTAATTGAGTTTTATATATCAAATAATTACGCATGATGGTCCTATACACCATAATAKAAAACAGAGATATTTAYTATAACATCAAAATAATAGTTKAATCAAAGCAAAACAATAATGATATTAATCTAGAGAGGAAGCATACCTTAAAACAGAGAGTATGCCCATATCATGATTATCACTAAAGGCATAAGTCCACTGACGTGCAATGTCGGATAAGAAGATTACTTCTAAAACTATCAGCAAATGGAGGCTTAACCAGCRTTTGACTTTGAAGGCACACTCTAGGGGAGTCATAATGGAACTTTGTTTTGATTCTCAATATGTGTTTGAGCTTTATATATCAAATAAGGTTTACTATAATGTTTGTAGTGAAATTATTTGGAGTTGCTTAAAATTATCAGAGTTTTGAGGGTGAAAGAGGTCTTCTTGAGAAATCATTGAACTACACTTCCATGCGATTTCTCAAGCTGTTGGCCATCCAAATCTATTGCATCCACATCACTGGTTGCATAATGTATTTTCTTGCCGCCACCTCGGACGTAAACCAAAGTTGGATGTCGTTGGTTCTAATCGGTGACAAAAACCTCACACAACTCGGGTTTGTGGAGAATTACGTTTCGTCGATCTACTTTRCCACCGTAACACTTTCCACCATTGGTAAGTCTTCTTTGAGAGTGTATATTTCTTTTTTTTTTCTAAATTGTATTTACTCATTTAAACTTTTTTATGTGATTATACAAATACAATTTCATTATTTTCGTAGGCTATGGCGACATTCACGCAGTCAATGTAAAGGAGATGGTCGTTGTGGCCGGTTTTATAATCTCCAGTGTGATTGTGTGGACTTATGTGGGTGTGAATTTGACTAATCTCTTTGTGAGAAAGTCAAAGGCTCAAATAGTCAGAGAAAAAATGGATATTATGGAAAAACAATTGAGAACTACCAGTGTCAATGAGGAATTGGCTAAAGAGATCAGAGATCATATGGTTATTAAATATGAGGAAGAGTACGACAACAAATTCCTTGAAGATGTTCCAACTTTTATTCGAACCAAGGTACTGTTTTCTCTCAAAAAAACAATTTTTTCTAGTTTATGGATTTTTTTTTTTAATTCTTTAGCGTCTCATAATTTTTTTGAATTTGCAGATATCTCAAGATTTCAATGAGAAAATTATCAATAGAGTTGCTCTTTTCAGTGGATGTTCACCTGATTTCATGAATCATTTGGTGAGCTATAAAGCATTTTTCAAACTTGTTAACGAGTTTTTTTTTTGTCTTGTTATAAATTCACGGTAAGAAATTAGTTGACAGAATTTGGTTTGCCTCATCAGGCTAGTGAGGCTCATGAGGATGTTTACGCCCCAGGATACACGCTTTTAGAAGAAGGAAGCATTGTGAATCAACTTTACATCTTATTTTCTGGAAAGCTGGTAAAGTTTATGACTATATATATTCCTTACTAGGCTGATGATTTTCATGTACAAATTTGCATGTAACACATGTTGCTCTTCAAAGTCTGTTTGAGATTGTGCAGTAAATAATATATGCAAATTATCTTTTGCAGGAACAAGTGCGAGCAGGAGTTGTACGTGAACACATATTACCTACCAGAATCTTAGGATTGGAATCACTTCTCTTGAATGTTGTTCTTCCTAATACCTTTCGAGCTCGTGAGAAAAGCAAGATTCTGCGACTGCGTAAACATTATTTCGTGGAAGCCCTTGAGACATACGTTCAAGATGCAGACACAGTGATTGGAAATCTAACGAGGGTAAATCATGTCTTGATTTAGCTAGTGTTCACTCTCTTAGTTGGTACTCATATTAATTTCTCTATTGTTTCGTAGGGTACAGACCCCGCTTTTGTGGAGAGCCTCAAAGATTCCGAGTTTGGTCTCAGAATGCAAAAAAGTGAGATCAAGAATGCATCGTTGTTAAATCATGCAGTTTATGATGGAAACTTGTTCAAGGTAAAAGCCTTGGTTGCATCAGGAGTAGATGTCAATTCTATGGATTATAGCAACATATCACCGTTGGTAAGTATCAACATATCTAACGTTTTTATTTATATGGATTGATAGAATATATTATTTTCTTTGTAGCATGTGGCTGCCACCAAGGAAAACACAGAGATAGCAACTTTCCTCATTGATAATGGAGCAGACATCAACATCAAAGGTAACTAACTCAAATGTTTTATACTTTGCAAATAATCATTCAGTAAATAATCATCTTGACAATACAAAGTTTTCTCTCCTTGAATGTTTATTACCAGATTTGAATGGGACTACTCCTTTCCTTAAAGCCATTAAGAATGGTCATGATGGAGTTGCTTCAGTTCTAGCTAAATCTGGTGCATTACTCGGAATTGATGACGAGGGTGAATATCTCTGCAAAGTCGTCTCGGAAAATGATTTGGCTTTACTGAGGAGATTACTGAAAATTGGAGTGGATCCCAACCAAAAAAATGATGCAGGCCAAACGCCGTTACATGTTGCAGCTGCAAAAGGTAGATATGAAGCAGCTTGTGTGCTTCTATCATCCAACGCAAATTATAAACTGAAAGACAGGTATACTTTATACGAATTTTATATTGTAAAATCTTTTAAATCTTTTATGCTTCAATTATTAATGG